TATACTATATTATAAAACATTCGACAAAAACTCTTAAAAACCATTTTTTATGCATAAAGTATTGTATATTGATGCATATTACTTAAAATTCAAGATTACATATAATTATGCACAAGTACAACTTATTAAAACTCTATATTTGAATTCGTGTAACTAAATGCGGATAAACATAATCAAATAGAGGATAAACATCTCATTTTAAATATAAAAAATCCAAAACATACTTAAGATAATCATTGAGTTCTAACAGAATACCTAATTATTATCTAAAATAAATTATTTTATTAAACCAAAAATAAATTCGTTCATTTTAAATTTCAGTTAAATTATAATAAAAAATTGAATTAAAGAAATTACACAAAACAAGAACTTAAATAGTTAATTTGATACTAATATTGCTTATTTTTTTCAAAATTCTATAATATTTTCAAATTTATATTTCATTCAAAAATAAAAACTTTTTTTTCTCAAAACCACATACAGTCGCATTATAACATCGATAGACCCAAAATATAAAACGAAACAATAAAATCAAGATGTATCTCGCTACATTGCGCGGGTACCCTTCTACTATATATAAGGGTCATTCAAGTGAGAACTGGTTAGTTTGTGGTAACCGTGATATCCAATGTGAACCATTCGTTTGAGATATTTAAGGATATTTCTTAAATAAGCTAAAAGGGTAATATAGTAATTCTATTTTTGACAACTAATCAAAATATTTAATTATATTTTTTAGAATAAAATATTTAATTAAAATTAGTTACCTAGTATCTCAATTACCTAATATACATCGTATTTAAAAACGTTTATGAATCAAAGTGTATCATAGTGATAATGTTCATAATGTTTCACGTGTATCATAATGTATTTTCTTTGTTTTATGAAATGTGACATCATGTGCATTTTCTTTTCTTTTATTGCTTTACAAAGAATATTACATTGTGCATATTGTATGTATATATGGGCATCACAATGAACATCGTTTGTAGATATCACAATGTGTATCTTATGTTTACATATGATTCGTCAAATAAGATTTGCCGGAGAGAGGAAAGATGATACTTATAAAACCCTAAAATGCCCTTAATTAATATTTTAAGTTAAAATTACCAAAATTATTAATTTTTCTAATTTAACCTTTGATTTGTGGTTAATATTGGATCTCACGATTACTACAAACAAAAAGTTCTCAGTTGATTAGGCCTATATATATATATATATATAGTTTTTTAAAATATAATTAATGAAAGGACCAAAAAAGATTTTAAAATATTAATGAAAGGCCTATATATATATATATATATAGTTCACGTTCATATGTCGATGTATATGTACTCTAGATAACGACAACATAAAAAGATTTTAACGGATCTTAGAAAATATAATTGGTCAATCAAATTTTGGATTTGTTAAATCAAATTTTAGAAAATGTCTATATTAATTTATGATTTCAAATACATCGACATATGAACGTGAAATCTTTTTATGTTGTCGTTATCTAGAGTACATATACATCGACATATGAACGTGAATTGTCTTGATTAGAACTCACCTTTATTTTGTGTCGTCATCGAATAATTACGCAAAAGTACATTTTTTTGTCGAATAAAATTCCGTTAATAAAAGTTGTGTTTAATATTTAGAAGAGTAAGCCACAAATTTCATCAATGTGGTTATATGAAATTTGGATCAGATCCTTTAAGCAAAATAATTACATCTATTATCCTTATGGTCTCATTTTATTTATTATAGATCGAATCCCTTAAACTAAGCTTCACTAAGTCAAGAAATTTGGTCCTTTCATTAATTATATTTTAAAAAAACAATATATATATATATATATATATATACGAAATTTATTGACCATTTTTAAGCGATCAATCACAAAGTGGTGATCATCAAAAAGTGGTGAACCACCGTTACGAAGAGATAACTACAACAACTAGTTGCTCAAGAGTTAAAGAAAGTGAAATCTGTACCTTAAGCGGAATAGAGAAGTAAACACGATCAAACGGGATTCACGGTGACGTTCGACTTGCTCGCGTGCCTAACGAATACGCAAATCGGTTATTACTTAAATGACGTAAGATCATATTCTAATTGTACTAATAAACTACTTAGATCCTACATGTTTATAAACAACTTAAACTTCAAATACGACAGCCGAATATGTATTATGAAATTGACGCAACACTTAGCTTTATAATTCTGATTCGACTTTTAATAGCTTTTGACCCTCATTTTCGTGAGCATTTTTACCCCATTTAGAGGTCAATACAGATTTTACAAAACAACAGATCAATCCTAAATACATTTAGAGGTCATTTGAATTATCTATCTATTTTATACGAATTTTACAAAACAGCAGATCAATCATAAATACAATGCAAACAGCCCCAAAAACAGACTGTTTCGAGCCACTTAGAATCATAAATGGATTTTTGACCCTCCATGAAAGTTGTAGTATACATTAAGGGCTTTCTAACTGCAAGATACAAGCTTATTCTGACTTACGGTTTGTAAGTTATACACTGTCAAAGTACGGACCTGCATAGTCGGTAAAATCCGATTCCGCAATTCCCGACTAACTTTTATAATCCAAATTCCATGATTCGCTACATTTACGTGCTATAAACATGTTTTAACATACTAAACAGTAAAACAAGTCCAATGATCGCTAACCTAAGCTTAATCATGCAATTTTACTCTTTTCGGCATTATATCGAACAATTGGTGTGACGTTAAAAATAAAAATATATCTTGTATCTCATTTTTCAAATTAAAAAAAGATTTAAAAAAATTACTGATAAACTTTATTTTAATTAAAAATAAAATATATATTTTATTTTTAATTAAAATAAATTTCATCAGTAATCATTTTTAAAATCTGTTTTTATTTTTTTAATTTAAGAAATCATATACGGAATATATTTTATTTTTAATTAAAAATAAATATAAGGGAAAAGTCTAAAGAAATTCAATGTACTTTAATGTTTGGAATGATTAAGTCTTTAAACAATTTTTTGGAATAAATAAGTCCTTGGACATTCCAAAACCTGTTAAACAACTCCTTATACTTTCTAAAACCTGTTATATATATTCTTATAACCAATAAAACTAAGGGAAAAGTCTAAAAAAACTCAATAGACTTTATTGTTTGGAATGATTAAATCCTTGGACAATTTTTTGGAACAAATAAGTCCTTGGACATTCCAAAACCTGTTAAACAACTTCTTGGACTTTCTAAAACATGTTATATACATCCTTATGACCGATAAAACTAATTAACGTAGTAAAATAATGGGAAAAAAACATGAACAAAAAACCAAAAAACATTTATATTTTGAGCGATAAAATCCCTAAACATTTTTGAACCAAAAAAAATACTTACATTATATAAAATAAAACAAATATACCAAAAAATACTTACATTTAAAAAAGATTATTAATAAAATTTATTTTAATTAAAAATAAAATACATTATGTCAGTGATTTTTCAAATTAAAAAAAATAAAAAGAGATTTAAAAAAGATTGCTGATTATATTTATTTTTAATTAAATATATATATAAAAGGAAAATCAACAAAAAATAATGTTATTAAATATATAGCTTCAATTCACAATTTTTATCAAATTCCGATGAATTCCGGTTTTGGCATCAAATGATTAGGAGTGATTATTTTTGTTATTTTTTTGGGTACACAAAACTCATTGAGGAGCCAACATGTATGTAATTTCTTACAACACCTACTTTTAACTGTTTCAACCTTGCAATTTTTCATAAAAATAATAATATTATTTTATTCACCATACACATACACATACATATATATGTATTTCGTGTCTTAGTTTTTTGGAGGAATAATCATCAAACTTTGCGTATTCTTCGACATGAAAAGTTCTTCGAGCTCCGGATTGATATTTAAAGTGGATTGTAAAACCACTGATGATAACTTCTTCCAAACCGACACGTTTCCAGCCAGTTGCTCGAAAGTAGGTCTGTCAAAAATGAACCCGTATGTCATGCTTATAATCATTGCAAATTTGCAAAGAAAAACAAAAAGGCATCAAATAAAAGATGATAATATGTAACTATCAACACATGAACCAAGGGTTGAAGCAAGAACTAGGCATGCAACGGGGCGGGGATGGAGCGGGTTTTGTAATCCCCGGCCCCGGTTTGTAATAACGTCCCCCGGCCCCAGCCCCGATCCCCGGCGAGTACGGGGATTATTATCCCGTCCCCGGTCAAATATTAACAATCCTCGGTCAAAACCCGGTAAAACCCCGGTCAATCCCCGGTCAAACCCCGTAAATATTATCTTTTATTTTGATTCTACCAGGGATCCCCGGCCCCGTCCCCGGTTTGTGTATACCGAGGATACCCGGCCTCGGGACCTGTTTTAGCGGGGAATCCCCGTCCCCGTTCGGGTCGGGTGAACCGGGTTCCCCACCGGGTCAGGGCAAATCATCATCCCTAGCAAGAACACATTAATTTTACGAAGATGCAAACACCCTTTTACTATCATCAATCATATATGATGCTATATTAGATGTGGGTGACCTTTGGCGTGACCTAGATTGCGGGTCAATTCGCCTACCTGCCTGTTTCCATGTCCTCACATGTCTATTATCACATGTGATTTATTATAGTAAACTGATGTTTTCGTCAACTAAATGTTCACATTATCTAACATGTAACCAAAAATTTGATGAAGAAAATGAACTCACTTGGAAGAATTAATGACAGAAAAAAGCTCCATTCCACCCTCATCTGCAATCACAGAAGCAGCCAAGAATTGAGGAAGAACCATAAGTTCACCTTCTTTCACGTCACCATCAAAACTGGGCTTTCCTTCATTACCCACAACCCGGATCCGACCACTACCCTTGGCAACATAAATGACCCGACCCGTCCCGTCTGCCACATAGCTTGGTGCCAACATGGCCTTCCCTTCCAGTCTCACAAATCTTGCACTCAAATCCATTCCCATAAGCACCGGAAACTCCTTTTCCGTCAAGGAATTGATGATTCCACCGCCTTCCACAACCACATCAGCGGCCGGAGTATCAATGGCAGCATATACTTTCTCTTTCACGTGCTCACTTGGGTTTGGAAACTCGGTTCCTTTCCTGAGTTTAACGATCAACGAACCTGGTTGGCTACTTACAAGATCTTCAGCTTCCTTGTTGTTGAGATCAAAAACTTTGGCGACAATATCGGATTGGAATCCATGAAGCATACCTTGAGCTCCGGACAAGAAAAAGTAACTCATTTCACCGACGACTTGCGCTTTGGCGGTTTCACCCAGGAATATTATGGTCAAATCGGTGTCGCCACCGTTGAACCACCATGAAATCTGCCCCCTTGGCAACGGCATTACATCCCCTTTCTTGATCACCACCACTGTTTCTTCTGAACTATTTGATGCCACCAATCCAACTGTGCAACTCCCTATATGTACATGAAGATCATATATAATGAATTATATATAATGAATTATATATAATGAATTAGAAGGGTACTCGCGCAATGCAGCGAGATATATTTTGATTTTAATATTTTATTTTATTCTTTAATACAGTCGATATTATAGCATGGTCTTATGTGATTTTAAGAAAGCGATGATGTTTTTATTTTTGAATAAAATATAAATTTGAAAATATATCGATATTAGTATCAAATTAACTATTTAAAATTCCTATTGTTTGTATAGTTTTTTTATTTTAATTTAATTTAGGTACAATAACAAAGTAATTTATATTTTGTTTAATAATATAATTTTCTTATAAAGATAATAATTAATTATTTTGTTAAAACTCGATAATTATCCTAATTATATTTTATATTTTTTATATTTTAAGATGAGATGTTTATCCTCTATTTGATTTTGTTTATCCGCAGTTAGTTATACGAATTCAAACATCGAGCTTTAATAAGTTGTATTTATGCATATTTTATTTGTAATTTTGAATTTTAAGTAATATGCATCAATACAGAGTACTTTATGCATAAAAAATGGTTTTTAAGAGTTTTTGTTAAATGCTTTATAATATAGCATAGATAATGATCAAATGAAGTTGATTAATTATGTGAATGATCGACAAAGGTACCTTGAAGAACGTAACCAATTTTAGAGGAATCGGAAAAGTGAGGAAGAGCGAATCCAAGTGGGTGGAGGATAAGCTCGCCGGCACCAAGCTTCCATTCCGACAACAATGGCGATTTGGAAGGTGTCCATGCATAGTACGCTCCTCCTTCTCCTTCGTACACCGTCTGGTCCGCCTTCTCCGCCACCAAATTCGTTTCCATTTCCTTCCAAACTGAAATTTTAAAGGTTACAAGATCAAAAGAGATATGATGATCTTAATTGCAAATCTCAATTCAAGCAAATCAATATCTATATATATTATATACTAGTTGCCGACAGTTAAGGGGCAATTGAATAATATGCTTTTGAACAATTGACCAAAATGGCCGGTTTTATAATAAAATACCCTTTTTTAGAACTTTTCCAAAAAATAACCAATCAAATCGTCACGGGGGGCGATTTTTGACCAAATAGAGGCGATTTTGACCGAAAGGTATGAAGGGATCTCACATCTATCTGATGTGGGGGACAAAAATCAAATCTTATACCTGATTTTGTCCAAATCGCCCCCTGTGGCGGTTTTGACCTCTTTTTTGTCTTCTAGTGAAGACAACTTCTGAAGTAACGATTTAACACATTGGGAGCGATTTTTACTAGTATGGGGCAATATGGAAAAAAAATTTTATGGGTATTCCAAGAAAATTTAATTTGATTGGATTTTTGTATAAAGTCTACAAGAAAAATATGTGTTATTGGAAACTAGAAGAGTACTCGCGCAATGCAGCGAGACACATCTTGATTTTAATGTTCTATTTTATTCTTTGTCTCTATCGATGTTATAATACGATTTTATGCGTTTTAAACAAAACAATAATGATTTTATTTTTAAATAAAATATAAATTTGAAGATATCATAAAAATTTGAAAAAAATTATATCAATTTTAATATCAAATCAACTATTTAAAAGTTTTTACTTTTTATGTAATTTCTTTAATTTTTTTTTATTATAATTTAATTTAAGTTTAATAATGAAATAGTTTATTTTTGGTTTAATAATATAACATTTTATAAATATAATAATTAAGTATTCTGTTAGAATTCATAATTATCCTAATTATATTTTAGATTTTTTATATTTAAAATGAGATGTTTATTCTGTATTTGATGAAATAGGATATGGATGAAATCAGATAGGATGAAATCGTTTAGGGATGAACGGGTTTAGGGATGGTTTTAGCAGGTTGTACCATTAGCAATAGATGTTGTCTTTAAGAGTTTTAAGAGTTTAAGAGTTTTTAAGAGTTTTAGCCAAATGCTTTATAATATAGTATAGATAAGA